TGCCCTATTCCTGTTTGGCAGGAGTTCAACATTAAGTGAGAGTGTCAGGATCTTGGAGCACAGGCTCTAAGCTCTGATTAAACCCTTTCCTCCAGTTCCTGGCATCCATTGTCTCTAATTCTGGCCTGTCCCATTGTAACATTCACTGTGGCCATTCCCTGTGCAATTCTCCTTTGTTTCCAACAGGATTCAACATGCTGTGATGAATCAAATCCGTGACTTTAACAAGTTCTGTGACTTTCAAATGGTCACGAACCTTGTTAAAAGATTTACATTCCTGTTAGTCCCTTAACCTGGTTGGGTTTTTCTCGGGGGTCTGATAGATCACTACCAAGAAGGCCAAAGAATGAGTAAGCCACCTTTTCAGTTTGCCCAGGGATTGGGGGGTTTTCTGCCGAGTGGACCTTTCAGAATCAAGACGGGAAAGTCCCAGGTGAACCAGAATGATTGTGATCTCACCTCAGCCTGCTTCCATTCTGCTTGGCAGAAGTGAAAGAAGGGATCAAAACTGCCTCAACTATGTCAGACGTTTGTGAATTCTGTGTCGTGGCAGCTACCTTATTCACTGACAGACCTGCATTTTATTTCAGAGCATCCACTGGCTGACGCAGTATTCCAGAGTCCTGTCATAGCAGGACATCCTTGCCTCTCAACAATTGCTGCTGCTATGCTAGGCCCACAGCTCTGATTAAGTTTCAGCAGACTGCACCAGTGCCTTACGTTGCTCAGGACTGATTAATTACTGTTTCCCTTGACAGTCCTTCACTCCCTCTCTCCTTGGCAGTGGCTTTTAAGTCACTCTCTTGCAAGTGACCCCTGTGCAGCATGCTCTGGTTGGAGATCTGAGATCTGTGCTTATGGCACTTACAGTCCCCAGTGAACAATCACTCCAGTTTCTGTAGCCTTGTCTTTAAATATTCCTAAGAAGGTCCCTCTACCAACAAACACTGACATGTGATTAATGAGGTTAGGGATGGCCATCAAACCCAGAGATGTGTCTGGGTTGCCCTGGGTGACTGTGTTTGCTCACGAAGTGGAAGTTCATGAATCAGCTGTCGCTTTCAGGACTTAAAGTGCTGTCTAAAAATGTTCTTATTGGCTGTCAGAGCAATAGAAGATGCTGTGGCTTGTAACGGTGTGCTTTGTTGCTCCATAAGTCTCTTTGTCAGGGCTATAGCTTCTTGTCTGACCAGTAAGCACAACCTTGCTGGTCTTTCAGGGTAGGTTGGATGTGAACTGCAGTTTGAGATTGCAGGATATGGCTGTGGGGATCGGCTCCTCTTCTCTGACCTTATAGCTATTTTGTGCCAGCACTGGTATCTCTGTCTCTGGAATTTCTCCCAAGAGGCAGATCTGCACACCTATTCCTGGCTGAAAGTGTTAGGGGCATTTTCATACCTTGAGGAAAACCCTTAACTTTTATTCCAGTGCTCTTGCCACAGGTAGGATAACTTGAGTGTGGCGACTGTGAGTGTGTATTCTTTCATTGTGGGATTAAGATCTGGTTGCCTTCAGGAATAACTGATCCTATAACACACTTTCTATTGACTCTTTTCTTCCCTGAATAACTTATTGTTAACTATTGGTGTTCCTTTCACATTCAAATCAACACTTTGAGCTCAATATGTGTCTCAGGTCTGTTTACTTACTGATAATCCATGTCTGCTAGGGAAGAGGGCATCTGACAGGGGTTCCCTGGGGTCCTTGTTTCCACCTGATTCTTGAATGTCTATTTCTTTCCAGACACACAAAGAATAAAGGAAACAAAGTCTTTGTGTCAACAGTTATCTAAAATCTTCAGGGCCAGATATCTGAATTGGGCAGCATCACCGTCTTCTGCTCCTCTCTCATCCTGCTAGTAGCTCCCCATGTGGCCTGTGAGTGTGTTCAAGCTGTTCAAAGCTGTGTGAACTGAGCTGTTCAAATATCAGGAATTCTCATGCCCATTTCATGTTGGCTGAAGGTGAGTTGCTGATTGGTTAAAACTTGTCATAATACATTATTTTTTCCCCACATGGTTCCATTCAAGGGAGAAATCAGTCTCATTCGGTTTCTCATTTCATAAATGACTTCTGGGATTTTTTGTTAAATACACATATGCTGGATGTTCTAAGGTAAGGACTTTAATTGAATGTCTTATAAAAGTTGTTTCTCCAAAGTCTGGGCTAATCTGAGACCTGTGGGGAAGTTGTTATGTTGGGGAAATACAAGGATTTAGTGTGTCATAGGATTTTCTCTATTGCAAGGGAAACATTTTTAATTGTTTTTGCTTTTTGGGTCATGCCTGGCAATACTCAGGGGATACTTCTGGCTCTGCACTCAAGAATTGCTACTGGCGGTGCTCAGGGGACCAAATGGGATGTGCAGGGGATTGAACCTGGGTTGGCTGCCATGTGAGGCAAGTGCTCTACCTACCATCCTATCACTCTGGCTCCTTTTCAAGGGAAATTTTATGCTCATTAAGGTAACATTCTTTTAAAGCCTGGCTGTTTAATGCCTGGTTATTTAACTATTCTAACTGAAGGAGAACCAGCAAAGCTCTCTGACCAGGGGTCTCCAGATTAATGTTTAACATTGGCTCTCTGAAGGGAATCCATAAGGTATTTATTTGCCAATTTCCATGTCTAATTTTAAGCTCCCAAAGTGGTGTCAGCAAGGCACTGCCTCAGTCTCAGACACACTTTTCTTTCTTTCTGTTATGTCATGAGGATTGTCACATGCTTCTCCTTTGAGGAACAATGTTATTATTATTGGTACTAGTTGGATTTTGGGCCACATCCATTGACCATGCTCAGGGTTTTCTCCTGGCTTTGTGTTCAGGAATTACTCCTAGCAGTACTCATGAGACTATATACAGTGCTGGGGGATGAAGTAGGTTTAACTAAATACTAGGAAAGTGCCTTACCCTTTGTACTATCTCTCCAATATTAAAGACCATAAACATGAAGGAGAAAAGTGGCCATCAGCTATCTCAACTTATAATTTTTTATAAAGGTGACAACTAGGGGAGCCTGGAAAAGTGGCCAAGCAAAATATCCCATCTTAATAAGTCTTAAGAAGAAGGAAAATGGACGAAAACAAGGAACGGGCTGAGTCAGTAAGAAAGAAACAAGACGGACCAGACTGGCTGAGTCCCTAAGTGCACGGGCCACAGTGGGTAGAAAGCCACGGACTTGTTTCTGGTGCCTTGCAGTTACCTTGTATCACAAGAATGTCAGTCTTGTCCAGATCTGTATGGAGGGGTGGTGGGGATGGGATGTTCCAGCCTATTATCTTCATCCCTCTGGGGCTTTCTTATAATAGAAAACCTTACGTGGACCTTTGTTCCTGACTAATCTCAGAGCCAAACAAGAGTGCATGGCTCAGCATCACTCCATTAACCATCCCGATCAAGACAATTTATACCATTTTTCTCAGAACATGAGTCATCTCCACAGCCCTTTCCTGCTCATTAAGGGTTTTAAAAGCCAACTTACCTGATAGTTTTATTATCGTTGGGTTACAGAATATGTAATGTAGAGATTGTTTAGAGCATCATTTTGCAAATTTCCAGAGGGTCTTGTTAAAAATACAGAAAACAAATGGACAAAGGCAACAGAATATGAGAACTTGTCTATAGAACTCAATTTACAAGATGGGGGTGACGGGCTTAAGGATTAGGAGGGGGGACACTGAGATAATGTGGGGGGAATGGGACACTTGAGTAGAGGGTGTGATGTTAGAATGTTGTGTGCATAAACCCTGTTACTAGCAGTATTGTAAATCATGATAAGCAAGTAAAATGAAAAATTATATGAAACTTACATATTCTTAAATAGCAGATAGCTGGGACTACGTTTTTACATTTCTTAGAAACTCCAGTGCAGGACAGTATTCATACTTTGGGAACTATTTTGTTGTAGACTACTTTATAGAAAAAAAACATGAGTCATGGGGGACTTAAGTAACCATTCTGAAGTTCCACTGCCAACAAGGGACAGTCAAGATTAGAGTTGTCTCCAATTCACCAAGCTTAACTCTATACTTGTCTAGGTCAATCAAAATAAAGAAATCTCAGCAACAGAAGAAGTGGATTTTATTTAGTACAACATAAACTATATATTCGATATGCCAAACACAATAACAACAAGTCTCACAATGTTACTGGGCCCACTTGAGCAAAATTGATGAACAACGGGAAAACAGTGACAGTGAAACTGTATAGAGAAGTTGGGAATGAGTACAGGCCTGCAGAAGAGCCTGTGATTCTGAGTGATGGTTTATTCATTCAGTGATCTCTTCTCATGTGGAGCTCAAGCAGCTCTGATGGGAAGATAAATGGTGACGGGAGAGATACAAAGGTCTTGATAGGCTTGACTGTGATCCCATAAAACTTTGACTTTTTAGACAGCTGATGCTTTAATTTAGTTTGTGGGAAAAATGGAACAACTCTGCGCTGAGAAGCCCTAATTTGTTTTATTATCATTTAGGGTTGTAGCTCTTTGTTCATTGAGAAACTCTAATCACCAGAGCCAGGCATGGTAAGTTCAAAGTTAGCTTCTTCTAGCCTAAATTTAACCTACTCAAACATAACTCATTTAATTCTTTGACAAATTTTATACTGTTTATATAGTTGTGTCTTGTGCCACAAAGTTTTGGGTGTCATTTGTTTCAGCATTCATGTAACCAGGACAAACTGTGGAGATCGTGTCAGGGCCAAGCACTTGCCTATTTATACCTCACAACAATCCCAGGAAGGAAAACATATTGTCACCATTTTATAGGCAAGAAAATTGAGGCCAAGAGATGTGGAGATGTGGGGAGGTGTACAAACACTAGGTTGGTTGTCTGGGACCTGAACTATTGCAAGAGCATACACACTCGTCTCTGCTTCTTGCTCTATTCTACTCTGCCCTCAACTCTGTGTTCTCCTCCTCTCTTCCCCGCCTTCCCCCCCTCTCCCAATTCCCAGGCCAGACCCAGGTGATTGTCAGGGTCTAGTGTGGCAAGAATGATTCTACCTTGTTTACACCGTCTGCCATGGCCTGAAGTGTGAGCTCCCGGGGCCCATCCACTGTCTTTCCATTGTCCGTGGGGCCCCAGCTGGCACTGTAGATGTCGATCAGTTGTGGCATGTGGCTGATGGAGGAGGCTTCGATGATGTCAGTCATGAACGGCTGGTCCAGCATCCGGATACCTGCAGACATGTTGGGTGAGAAAGCACAGTGTTTTGATTCCCAGTTTATAGGACACTGAGTGGAAGACGGGTCTGTTCCTGGGTGTTGATGGGCTGCATCCTGGGGGCATTGGGAGATAATCACGGCTATGAGAATTACACACAGAGGATCCACTAAGAGACAGACCCTACTACCAGTCTTATTTATTTCATTAGCACTGTTGGGCCACACCTGGTTGTGCTTAAGACTTACCCCAAACTTTATGTTCAGGAGTCACTCTTGGCAGTGCTCAAGGGATCATATGTGCTGTATGGATTGAACCAAGGTAGCATCCTCCAAGGCAAAATGCCTTACTCACTTTCATATCCCTCAATCCCAGGGCCTTTTTAGCCTCTAGTTGCGCCAAATCTTTAGTAACCAGTTGAAAAGAATTTTATCAAAGCAAATTTTGCTAGAATTCCTATTGGGGAAAGGCCATCTTTGTTGTAAAGCATCCTTGATAAGCCTGACTTTTTTTATAATTTTATTTTATTTTTATAAAATTGTTCACAATAATTGATTATATTCAATATTCCTACAGCAATCTCACCACCATAATACCTTCCCACCATCATATTTCAAATTATTCCACCTCAATCCCCAAAGCCTGCCCCTAAAGCAGAACTTAAATAATTTATTTTGTATTGATTTTTATGAATAATCCACTAAAGATGATCAAAAAAAGTTTCCTTAGAGGAAAGTGTGTGAAGATTGTTGTATCACCCTGGAGCTAATAAACCCTTGTATAGGGTATGTGATATGCTCCAGGAGCTCTAAGATTTTAAATAGGGTGATATGGCTATAATGAAAATTTTAACTGGATGGTGCCTTTGGGATCCAGAGACATCTCTGTGGCATGTTGCTCTCTTCCTCTTCCAAGGTTTATTTTTGGTCTCTGGATCATGGCTGTTAATGAGCTTATATGGCACTGGAGGCAGTAACTGCCAAGTTACCAGATGCACAGGGAGTTGTGGGGTGGTCATCCATTCCCGACTCTGTGCAATCTGGAGATTTTGGTCACAAGTCCCACATACCTGGGATTTTCAGCAGATTCACTCATGGATGAGGCTTGTCTGAGCCCGTGGATGTTGGCCATGAGCATGATAAGTCTGATTCTAAGTGGAAGCTGTGTCTAAGTGGAAGACATCTTCAGGGACTGAGAACAAGTCTCAGAGGAGAAGTAAAGTGACTGTGCTTGATATGCAGGAGAAGACATTCCATTGATAAAATCTACATTATATAGTACGGAATCTATTTCATAATATGAGCCAGGAGGCAGAGGGCAAGGGGTAGGAGCAGAGCAGGGAAGGTAATAAGAAAAGAGAAATTCTCAGTTGCACTGTAGCTGGGAAGGAACTTTAGGGATGACAGAGCATTTCTGGTTGTTCTAAAATAATGTACTAGGTGCATGATATGTTCTTTTCCTCGTTCCTCCTGTGGTCTCTTTCTCCCTAATCTTGGTAAGGTTAATGCTATTCTCTGGAGCCTTTTGGGAGTGACTTCTCATTGGGAAGCTGAATGGAGCCTTACAGCCAGGATTGTATGTACGTGACTAGGAGCCACACACAAGAAACAGAGAGCAAGGGTGCTCTGTGGGCATGAGAGAGTGGTAGGCATTACCCTCTGGTAGGAAGATTCTCTCTGGTTAGGGCAGGAGGAGCCAAGGGGACGGGTGTACTGTTTCTCCACTACTAAGCATCATAGTTGGGAACATATTGCTCTTTGTTTGATGTGCTATTTTGTGGCAAAGAGATTAAAATGCTAGTTAAATTGAACCCACATCTTGCCATCCATAGAGTATGAGATAAAGGAGCTGTGCTGTACACAGTCAAATCCTGGGTCCTGACACTATGTATCTGCCCCTGAGGTCACAAGATATTACTGCACACTCTACCAATGTTTGTAAATTAATTTAAATCAATACAATTTGAGTTCTTTCTTTTTTGTTGAATTTTTAGACCACACCTGGTGTTCTCAGAACTGACTATTAACTCTGTGTTCAGGGATTGCTCCTACAGGAACTTAGGGGTCCATATGTATCTGAGGATTGAACCCTGATGGGCAGTGTCAAAGGCAAGCGCCCGGCTCAATGTACTAACCCTCTGTACAGTTTAGGTTCCTTATGGCATGTGACATTGATGTTATCTTCTCTCCTCAAGTCTCTCTTTCCTCCACCCTGTCTCTAGCCCACTCCCAGGAAGTGCAGCCATTGCAGCTTCACCCAGGGCTCATTGTTCTTCTGTTTAAATGATGTGCTTTGCACTCATTCGTCTGGGAGTTTTCCAAGTCTTGCTTCCCAGGTCCCTTTTAACACCATACTCCCCTTTAACACCACACTTTACAGCACTTCACTATTACAGTGGTGCTTGTGTTCCATTTATGTCTAAACAGCAGTCTTTCAGTCTTTTTGTACAGGGCATTTGTCTATTTTATTGACATTGAGGTCTTAGGGTTTCAACCTGACACTGGGAATATATCTTCAGTATAACAAACATTCGATGAATAAACACATAGCATTTTCACTTTCGTTATTTAAATTTTCTCCTACCAGAAAACACAGATTCAGAAGAATAAATAACAAGCCCAGGTTTTCCATTCTCTGCCATAAACCTATTAATCAAGTCATTTGTTTGGTCAATAATCATCTGTTATGAATTAACATTCTCATTCAGATTAAGTGTAGTCTCTGGATTTGAATTTTCTGAAAGCTAAACTGATGTTCTAAGGGCTATAAAATGAAAAACCTACATTTTGCTGCGAACCCATTTATATTTGAATTATTTTAAACATTTATTCAACAAGGTGGCTGCCAGGTTACAGAATAAACCGAACAGCTTCTTCTTGCAAGCAGTCATGCCCGTTTTGTGAGTGAGGAAACAGTGCGGAGGTTGGGATTCACTTGCTGCAAGGAGAAAACTCAGATGGTCTTGAACTACTCTTGAAAACAGATGATCAGTACTGAATATTACTGGTGTTGGAAGGTGAGAGAAATTCTACCTTTCTTAAAGGAGGCCTTCACTGTCCAATTTAGCAGTAAATGGCCACAGGAGGGTTTTTTTTTGTCATACATTCAGACTATGTTTCATCAGTCTTGTCCTATGCTCTCTCTCTCTCTGCAGCTTTTGTCATGCTGTCCACTCTCTATTTGTGGCCACCCTGGCTTCTGTAAGCTGCATGGATCAGCAGAACTGGCGTATGTTAATTGTTGAACTATTTCAGTACCAGGGAAGCAGGGACAGTCACAGATGGGCTCAGGGCTCACATTCATACTCAGGAGTCAGGCCCCCAACAATATTTTAATGACATTAAACTGGGAGTATAGACCCATGCATTAATTCAATGAGATGCCAGTGTCAATTTTTGTAAGCTCTGCACTGTTGGTAGACAAGACAGACGCTTGGGTGACCCAGGGGTTTACAGTGTCTCTCCTCTATGCCTGAATGCCCTAGGATCCATGGAGAGAAGGGAGAGGAGGAGAAAAAGAGAAGGAGAGTCAGAGAAAGCAAGAGTTATAGACAATACCAGAGACTGATTAAGAGGCAGAGGGAAAGAGAGGGAACTAGTCGGGACTGGAAGACAAACAACTGATGCGATTCAATGACAAGGACAAGTGGGAGATACGTGCGCATCAAGCATTTCTGCTGCAATTCCACAGGTCTAAAGGGGCATTAACACCTGGCGTTGGCTGCAGCTCACTCCTTTTACAGCCAGAGTGTCCCATCTGCTTTCCCCAGTTTGGGTCGCAGCTAGCCTGGTTGTGTTGCACAGCCTGGGGCAGGGGATGTGAGATAAATTCTTTCTGCCTTTGCTTTTGCTGCAGAAGGGCAAGGTGTACCTGACACCAATAAGTAGCTCCACCTGCCTACAGATTTCAGTGCCACTAATGGGAGTCTTTTGTTTTGATGAATACTTGTCTGCAGACTGCAAATTAATGCTGATCCTAGGTCTTAAGGATCTGAAAACATCATAATCAATGTGCCAGTGAGCCTCTTCTATTGACAGGCTCCCCAAAGTAATTGCTGACTGGTCATAGGGATAAAGAAAAGGTCTGGTGCAAGGCCCTGAAATAGTACAGTGGGTAGGGTGCTTTCCTTGCAAGTCCCAGGGACTGTCCCTGAGCATCGTCAGGAGGAATTCCTGAGTTCAGAGTCTGGAGTAACTCGTGAGTATTGCTGGGTGTGATCTCCAAGACAATACAAAACAGAGGAAATAAAATGAAAAGGCTTGGTGAAGCACTGACTTTAATCATTGAAGAAGTCTAAATTTGACACACTTGCAAGAGATATCATTTGAAGGATTAATCATTTTAATCTGTGTCCTTTTATTTTTTTGTTTTGTGAATTTTGAGTAACATTTCAATTTTACCTTTTTGGTGTCTGAATCTCTTTGAATATGTCAAACATTGATTTAAAAATTAAAATTAAGAAATAATGACTTATTGGATAAAGTCTTTTAAAAAACAAATGGACCTAAAATTAGTATTACATTTTTAAAACTAATAAGTATATAAGAAAAAGTATATAAGTATATAAGAATAATCAAAGTCTAAAGTGACCTTTTTTGGCTTTCTGGTTATCAAAGCTACAAAATGGTACTAAAACTTGGGGTATCCTGTATGTATTGGTCTGCTGCAGAGCCTTCAGGGTCAGGCTCATTGGTATTTCTTCCTCCCCCACTTCTGTGTTGTATGGAAGAGGTGGTGACCACTCTGTTCATGAAAACAGGTGGTCAAAATCAAAGACAAAGCTTGTCTTAAGGAAGACATTTTTGAGAGCCACTTATGTCAAAAGTCAGGAGAGATGTGGTTAGGAGCAGTGAGTTTCCTGTCACTGAGGCATGTTGTTCCAACCTGGAGTCACGCTGTATTAGGAGAGCAGGATGAGAAGTTGCTCCAGTATTTAGAGCTGAGTATTTCACCCAGAGGCTAATCAGACTAAATGGGAACTTAATATACAATGTAGGTGGCATTGCCAACCACAGAATCAGGATGGATCATTGAACAGATGTTACTTATAACAGTGGTTCAGTATTTGGAGAAAAGCCAAACAAAACTGGATTCCTAGCTAGCTTGTAAAGGTGGAATACAAAGGTGGAATCCAGATGGATTAAGGACCTCTTATGAATGTTGAGGAAGATATATTTGCACTCACTAAAACTGACCACAGTCTAATATCTGGGACATACCAAGAGCTGCAAAGCACCAAGAAAAAAACTCCTGCAAAGAATGAGGAAAAATGAGGAAAGTTCATGAATAGAGAAGAACCAACCCACAGATGAAGAGATGCTTAGTGTTTCCTTTTTTCTCTTCAGGGGATCTATTTAATTATCTTCACTTCTCCTTATATTTCTGGACCCAAAGTCTGCACCACCTGAACTTGGTCTCTTTGGGGAATTTAGGTGAGAGACTTTGGAGGGAACCGGGATATCACCACCATTCTCCATCCTGTAACGGACCTGGATACTGTCAGAAACTAGCAATGATCTTCGGTGGCCACCAGGTGGCACTCTAGACCTCTAGCGCAGAAAGAATCCCTGGAAGAGAATGGATCATTTTCTACTTACCTTAGAAATAATTTGGGGCAGGGGGGCGGGGGGCGGGGGGGGGGGGAAGGGGAGAGGAGGGAATTTCCCTGCCTGCTGATGAACTGCTGATGAAACTGCCAGCCAGATGAACAAAATGTTCTATTAGATTTGTTAGGTCAATGAGCCTGAAATTTTGTTGCAATTATTGAGTAACTCTCCAGGTCTTCCGCATAGAGGTTGTTTTATTGTTTTGCTTGGCTGGGGAAGGTGAGCCGACACTGGGTGTTTTGAAGGACAGAACGAGGTCTGGAATTTACTGCCTGTCGAGCACTGAGAATCAGCATGAGAAGTTACTGAGCAGAAGAGTGGAGGTTAAGGGGGGGTAAAGAGAGCAAGGAGGTTATTTTGCTCAAAATCTTTTTTTGTGACTGGACAATGCCGTCTAATAGGTCTCTGATCTTGGTTTCTGGAACTTTAGAGCATTGCTCTAGGATTTCACACACCAGGGAGATTTGTCTTCGAGGTATCATTTACATCCTCTTTGCTTTCAAAGTCTGTGACGGGGCGGTAGATGCTGCCTGGTCCAGGCGGGGGATAAGGTGAGGATTCTCTGCTTAACCAGAGCTGGCATGCCAGATCAGCGCAAGACTCCAGGTCCAGAGTCCACCGCTGGCCAAGGAGAGGATAAACTCCTCTACCTTCTCACCAGAGGGTCAATTTTGAGAGGAATCCTCCTGTACCTCAATACCCTACTAGTCCATGAGGGCAATTGCATTGTTTTGTGTCTTTTTTTTTGCATATTTTTTTTCACATTCTGGTTTCCTGGAAGCACCTCCCCAATAAAATCTTTGTGCCAATATTGCAATATTGTTGCCACTGGTTTTGCACTTGGAAATTTGAAAAGTGCAGAAGGAGAAGGTACAGTTGCTGAGCAGTCTGAAGAGAACAATAAAGGAAAAAAGGTGAGAGGCTTATGGAGAAAGGAACTCCCCGAACCTCCAGAATGCCTTGAGTTTCTTCTAACACATAACATTTTTCAACAGCAAGTAGTTCCAAGAATTCCTTATCCAAACACTTTGGATGAGCATAGGGCTTTCCAAGCTTTTGGGGATACAATAATTGGAAATTAAAAAAATAAAAATCCACATTTGAATTTTTCAGTTCACTCAGCTCTCCGGTAAACAGAAAAACCACCTTGCCTCAGATGTCACCCAGTGCCCAAGTCTGGCTGATAAAATATTAACCAGGTGATATTTTTTCCCCTGGGCTCATCATGGCTTATAACATTTTAATGCCAGCATTATGGATGCACACAAACTAAAGAGAGATGAAACTCAAGCAATGTCTCCTCCTTAGAACAGATATATTCTTTTGTGAAATTCAGTGCTCTGCTCAGGCAAGCTTCTTAGCAAACAGTGTTGAGAGAGGTTAATGGTGGGTTTGTATGGGTCACCCTTGCTTTATTCAGGTCCTTGGATATGCAAGTGTCAGGACAAAATAATTTAATGGTTTAATTAAATTGCCAGAAAAAATATCAGGACAGTTGAAAAAAAAAGAAGAGCAAAAAAAAAAAAAAATAAAACCAAGGTTGGGTGACTCAGTCTGAATATATAAAGGAAGTATTTGATACAAAATATGGAAAGAACCAGGAGCCACTCCATTCTCCAACATCCTATTGAAAATTTATGAACATCTCTTATTCTTTCTCCACGTGTGTGAAATACATGGGTTTATATATTTCAAATGACCTACCACTCTTATGTTAACTCCTTAAAGGAGGCTCTGATTTTTTAGACTTTGTTAATTATTATTTTCCTTGAACTTAATAAGAAGCTTCAAAGGTAGAATTTATTTACTTAAAATGAGATATACTGTGAAAAACAAGAGTTCTGAGTGTTTTCAGTAATTCATGTGTATTTCCTTACATTCTGTGATCTTGATTTGAATCTCATGAAAATGTTATTGATATTTATATAATTCCATTTCAATTAAATGTAAAATAAAAACAACCTTTTTTTTGCTGTTTTAAATGAGAATGGCATCTATTTTTGTTTGTTTGGGGGTCACACTTGACTGTGCTCAGGTGTTGCTTCTGGCTCTGTGCTCAGGATCGCTCCCTGGTGACCTAGAGGAACATATGTGCTGCCAGGGATCAAACCTGGATTAGCGTGTGCAAGGCAAGTGTCCTGCCTACTGGGTCCCTGATGTTGGTTGTTTTTGTGTGCCTGGTTAGAAACTGGGATGGTATACCAAAAGAACTTTGGAGATGTTGACGATGTTTTGTTCCTTTTTTTTCCTCTCTCTCTTTTTGGGGTGGAGGGGTGGAGGGTGTTTCTCCAGCTGTGGTTGGGAGTCTGAGGGACTTGCCTGGCAATTCTCAGTCCAACGGCACATTTGACAGCTCTGTGCGTGGGCTAAATGCTGCAGCACTGCAGAGACCTGCGGGGATTGGAGCCGCCACACCAGTGGAGTTTAAGCGCCCGTCAATCTCAGGGCCCATGTGCTAGTCCTTTGTATATGTTCTCAGCAGCCCTACATGTTTTTTCTTGATCAATATGATCATCTTTGTGAAAATTCACTGAGCTGACTGTCGTCACTGTGTACTTTCCTGCATCTATTTTACACATAAACTCAAATACTGAAAGCTTACTGATATTGCAAAACAAAATAATTCACTTTTGCTAAGTCTACTAATCCTAGCTCCCATGCCTTAGTAAAAGTTGTTGCCTCTCTCCAACCAGGCAAGGGGCCAGAGTGAGTGGGGTGCACTCTGGGATGGGCTGCTTGGTTCCCACTGTTTGGCAGGGCAGCATACCTGCAACCTTGGAGTTGTATGCTACTCCGACCCCACAGATGTTGTTGTTAGCAGCAGCAGAAACTTCCCCTGCACATCGTGTTCCATGGCTGTGGAGGAAAATAAAGAAAATTTAGAAACAGGGTCAAAACACTTTCGAGGCGGTACCTTCAATTCTATCCACTGGAAATGACTGATCTGAATCCTTTCAGTGGTTCAACCAGCTGGAGCCAGTTCGAGGCTTACCAGAGTTTCCCTTTGTCTGTCCCACATTTCCTTTCTTTCCCTTTCTTATTACAGCTGCATCCTTGATCTTGGCTGTTGTCTGCCACAAGATGCTTCTCAGAGCATTTTTTCCCTTTTTGTTGGGGGAAGTGGGTCACACCCAGTGATGCTCAGGGGTTACTCCTGGCTCTGCACTCAGGAATTACTCCTGGCAGTGCTTGGAGGACCGTTTGGGATGCCGAGGATCAAATCCAGGAGGGCAAGGTGCAAAGCAAACTCCCTTCCTGCTGTACTGTTTTCCAGCTCCTCTCAGAACATTTTTAACCTTGAAATTTTATCTTTAAAAAGAGCTATCTTCCTCCAAAATGCATGTTTTGTAGTTTTCTGATGAGAACAGAATGATAGAACAGGTTTGTGCTGGCTGAAATGGCTGTGTTTTGGGAAACATTAGATTGGTATGTTGGGGCATATTTTCCATGTTGGTTTCTATTGACAGGAGTGCGATGCTGTTACTAATTCACTGTCACTGTCACTGTCCTCCCGTTCATCGATTTTCTTGAGCAGGCACCAGTAATGTCTCTATTGTGAGACTCATTGTTACTGTTTTTTGGCATATCAAAAACCTCAGGTAACCTACCAGGCTTTGCCATGTAGGCGCAATTCTCTCAGTAGTTTGCCTGACTCTCTGAGAGGGACGGAGGAATCGAACCCAGGTCGGCTGCATGCAAGGCGAATGCCCTACCTGCTATGCTATCACTGTCCCGCTGTTACTAATTACAAGATAATATTAGGGTATATACCTTTTTGGAAACATAAACCCCCCCATGAATTTTTGGAATATAGTCTTTCTCCCCGAATAAAACATTTTGGAACATAATAAAATATTGGAACATTTTGTGTACAATTTCAAGCAGGTCACAGAACCTTTGAGGTTGAGCAAATCAAGAACCATGGTCATACATTAAATAATCTTTCCAAGATTCATCTGGCAATTCTGAACAAGGCCTTCTCAGAGGTTATATTCTAGAATTTTCTCTCACAGACACTGTGGTTTTATTAATAGTCTTGCTTTGCTTACTTGTTTCCTTTTTAAAACAAAGAGTTCCTCACAGTTCTTGTCCTCCTATAGGTATTTGTTCGTCTCTGGAATTGAGCTGACAACATGACCTATTTTGATCCAGGGAATATGAAAAAGGATGATGTGCTACTTTATAGTTTGTTTGTTCTGGGGGCCACCCTATGATGCTCAGGGATTACTCCTGGCTCTCTGCTCAGAGATCATTTTCTTTTCTTTTTTTTTTCTTTTTTTTCCCTTTATTTTATTTTATTTTTTTTAAAGTTGTAGATTTACAATTTTTTGTGCTTGGGTTTCAATTATACAATGATCAGATACCCATCCCTCCACCAGTGCCCATTTTCCACCACCATGGATAATATCCCTCCCACCCCATCCCCCCATCCCCCCGTCTCTGTGGCAGGGCAATCCCCTGTGTTCTCTCTCTCCTTTTGGGTGTTGTGGTCTGCAAAAGAGGCATTGAGTGGCAAACATGTTCAGTCCATAGTCTACTTTCGACATGCATCTCCCCTCCTGGGAGGATCCTCCAAACATCCTTTATTTGGTGCTCCCTTCTCTATCTGAACTGCCCTTTCCTCTAGGATACCCGGCTGGCCTCTAAGTTATGGAGTAATCCTCCTGGTGCTGATCTCAGCTATTCTTGGGTATTAATCTCATACTTTGTTACTTTATATCCCCCAGATGAATGCAATCTTTCTATGTCTATCCCTCTCTTTCTGACTCATTTCGCTTAGCATGATACTTTCCATATTGTACCACTTGTATGTAAATTTCATGACTTCATCTTTTCTAAGAGCTACATAGTACTCCATTGTGTAGATGTACCAAAGTTTCTTTAACCAGTCATCTGTTCTTGGGCATTCAGGTTTCTTCCAGTTTCTGGCTATTGTAAAGAGTGCTGCAATGAACAAACAAGTGCAGATGTCACTTCGACTACACATTTTTGCCTCTCTGGGATATATTCCCAGGAGTGGTATTGCTGGGTCAAATGGGAGCTCAATTTCTAATTTTTTGAGAATCGTCCATACTGTTTTCCAGAAGGGCTGAACCAGTGGACATTCCCACCAACAGTGAAGGAGTGTCCCTTTCTCGCCACATCCACGCCAGCATCGGTTGCTTTTGTTCTTTTGAATGTGGGCCACTCTTCAGAGATCATTTTCCTTGTGAGACATGGGGTACCACACGGAGTGCTGGGATTGAACCCCAATTGGCTCTGTCCAAGGGAATACTCTACCCACTGTATTTTGGCTCTGGCTCCTGATGAACCACTTTTATTTTACAGGCCTGGGAGCTTCTTTTTCTGTCTGCTGGGACTGAGCTCTATCGAGAGACACTGGCTGGTCTTTGTAAGGATGAGACTACATGAGGAAAGGCCACAACCTCCATGATTCAAACACCTCAGAACTGTGGGGTCCAACATGAGCGGTGAGACACCTCCCTTCTCCGGACCCAGCTAGATTTTCTAGCCCCTCACACCCCATCAGTAGTTAATGAACAGAGACGGACTATTCCTGCCAAGCTATAGGACTGAACAAATAAATGCTTGTTCTTCGTGTAAGCATTTTACAGTAGGTTTGTTAACTGATAATAGAGAAGGGAAATAGACATAATAGAAAAGTGAAACAAGCACTAACTCTAAGTCCATCAAAATGCCTGTTTTTACCACAGATAGAATTTCCAGACCGAAATCATCTGAAATTACTGACCCCAACCGTGAGATGTCCTGTATGTTAAGGCTTATGAAGTAGTTAAAAGATTGAGTCCCGTTACCAACTCTTCTGGAATAATTTGAAGACAGTTTGTTGGCAGGATGGGTAAGGACTGCTGCTTCTACTCTCTGCTCAGACTATAATGAATTAATGCTGGTGAACAGAGTAACTGACAGCTCATCCCTGGGGATCTAGGATTTCTGCAGTGCTGATGAGTGTCCTGCTGGTGACATCTTCTTGAGGCAAAGCTATTGTAAGAGTCTTTGGGGGGAAAAGTCACATCTAAGGCCCGAGGGAAAAAATACATATGTGTTTATACATTTTCATTTTCTATATAAGCAAAAGAAATCTTGCCTCCATAAAAGCTACATATTCCTTGGACTCCAAGTTCCCTTTGGAGGATGAAATTTACATATTGTGTCGAGCCTTGTGGAAAAGAACCGAGAAAACAAAGTCTCGAGCAAGTTACCCTACTTAAGTTTTCTGTAAAGAACATTGGAGAATTTTGAGGCTGTTACAGTGGGACTTGTTGGGAAAGTCTTTAAGGGAAAGACTTTTGATGTAAACTTATTCCAAATGTTGAAGAAAATGCAAAATAAGATGCCAAAAATCAATATGGAAGTGGGTGTCTATGTATATTCAGAGAAAATATATATATTCCTCTTACTGAATGATGCATTTAATTTATATTTGTACATGTAACTATTATATAATTTTATGTAATATATTATATATTAAATACACATGTTTCATATTTGAGTGTATATTTATATAAAATAAATGTCATACCTAAAGAACATCTATACTTTTAAAATGGAGCTTTAATGGATACTAATTAAATCTGACTTGTTGGCTTGCTATTTGGTTCATGCTGAACAAATAAATGTTTAAATTTTAAACCTCAATGCCATGTCTAATTTGACTGAGCACCAATTTCCTTATTATTTAATAATCAGCCCTGTCAAGGGCTCCCTTCTGAGACCAGAAATGTGCAATTAGACTGCCTGGAGTAGTTCCGACCTCTGCCGACATCAGTGGCAAACACAGATGTGTTGGGAGAGGCTCTGCTGTGCCGGGGCCCTGCACTTGGGATGCAGGAGCCAGACATCCGAGAGCCGCCTGCTAATGACTGGTCATTCACTGACTGCAGGAGCCTGGCTCAGGGCTGCTCCTCGCTCACCCCTCTAGCCTCACAGGAGCGATTCCATTTCACAGATGCTTAAGTGGAGACTCAGCACGGTTGACTGGAAGGTTTCTTTGTGACAGGGTGACGGGGCCAGACCTTTTGCTCAGTGACTGTATCCCAGAAGCCCGCCCCCCTCCCCCCCCCCCCCCCCCCCCCCCCCCCCCCCCCCCGCCCTCCTACCTTTCTCTGCTCAAAAACTGCACACTCAAGGCTGGAAGAAAACTGCATGTGGATTGGTCAGAGTAAATGAAAGGCCTTAGATATTTCCACAGTCTTTGTTTTTGGCCTTCCAGAGGGAGATGACTGCCATGGGCTCTCCAGAGGGACATTTTTGTTGTTAACTTAGGCAACAGTAATGTATTATACACTTTCCTTCCTTCCTTCCTTCCTTCCTTCCTTCCTTCCTTCCTTCCTTCCTTCCTTCCTTCCTTCCTCCTTCCTTCCTTCTCCTCTTGTTTTTATAATTAAGAATATGGGGGTAATGGGGGGTGGGAGGGATACTGGGATCGTGGTGGTGGAGAATGGGCACTGGTGGAGGGATGGGTACTTGATCATTGTATAACTGAAACCCAAGCACAAAAATTTGTAAGTCTACAACTGTACCTCATGGTGTTTTACTAATAAGGCCCTCCCGTTGATCGTCGATTTGCTCGAGCGGGCCCAGTAACGTCTCCATTGGAGACTTTGTTGTTACTGTGTCTGGCATATCGAATACTCTCGGTAGCTTGCCGGGCTCTCCGAGAGGGGCGGAGGAATCGAACTCGGGTCGGCCATGTTGGCCGCGTGTAAGGCGAACGCCCTACCGCTGAGCTATCACTCTTTACTAATAAAAATAAAAAAAAAGAATATTGTTTTTAGAATGGGAGACTTATACCCAAGAATAGTAGAGCTGAATACCAGAAGGATTGCTTCACG